AGATTTAGATGTGTCACCCCCCTCGGTTGATCCTCTGGTTGTGAATGCTGTCAAATACACCATAACATGATTAATTGTCGATGGAAATTTGATAGGTTCCCGAGCAGAGGGTGAGAACAAAATGAAAACAAGAATTATGTTGTTTTCATTATTCCTGATAACTTTTTTTTTTTTTTCCTTGGTTTTGTTTTCCGTCGATCTTGTTTTCCGTGCTGAGCACCAATGCTACCGACGCCAGGAAGGCAGCTCCCACACCTGGACCCTACCTATCGACCCATCAACTCATGAACCGGGGACCAACGGCTTTACTTCCCTTCCGAAGGAAGGCGTGATCAGAGATGTTATGCCTCAGAACATCCCGGCGGCGCCGACTGGGATTGAACCCAGGCCTGCTGGGGTGAGAGGCAATCACGCTTACCACTACACCACCGGCGCCGCTTATTCCTGATAACTCAAATTGATTTAATTTTGATGGAGTTGATGGCTAACAGAACAAAAATGAGAGCTAAGTATTACAACGAAACTACCGTGACGGGCGTGACTGCGTTTTCCGTTGGAGGGAGTTAGAGAAGCATAAAAGAAACAGCAACGCCTCGAGCAGATCCCACTGCAAAAAATATGGTTTTTAGCACAACAATTAATTTTGCAAAGAAGGGGGTACGCTGATAAAATCGAGCAAGTTATTTTGTTTTTATAAATTTTGAATTTTTTTTTCTCAAGCATTTTATAAAAATCTGTATAAATCTGTATTGTAATTTAAAAATCTGTGATATATCTGTATTCTGTATCGGGTCTGTATTAAGATTAAAAAATCTGTATAATACAGATAAATCTGTATAAATGGCAGCGCTGAGCAGCAGCAGCAGCGAACAGCAGCAGGAGCGCTTCGGCAAACATTGTTCTCCACAGTAACAACGAAAGGCTGCCTGTAAGCAGCGAGCTGCAGTGCTCGTATGAACAACCATAGGAGGAAGAAGCTGCACCGCTATGCTGTGAATCGGAATCAGTAGCTCTTCGTGAGTCGCTGCGGGTCATCTATGCCAAGCGTGTCACCCTTGCTCTAAACAACTTACAGCTCGACAGCCTCATCCGTGTAGAACACCCACCTCAGATTTTATCAACCATCACTACAAAACGGTCCTTTTCAGGACCACCAAAAATTGTAGAAGAGTATTATTAGGACATTTTTAAGGTAATCAGTTCCCGCAAGCAGCTTGGTATCAAGGCTCAACCTGGTCTACAGAAGGTATAGAATTGTAGGCACGAATGTATTGGTGAGATAAATCATCGTCCGGCCACGCTGGTGGAAGTGTTAAAATCAATATAGTATTTGAGAGAAGCTAAATAAATAAATCCAGGGACATTCATTTTTTTCCCCGGAAATTGTTTGTTTATTTATTACCAATGTTGGTTTGTTTATTACCAATCCCCAGAAAAGCCACAATAAAATCAAATTTGTGAGAAAATAAGCTCACGAGTTTCGAAGTCCCTCCTTTTTTACATATTCTGCATAAACGATACTTTCCGCCCCGCCCCATTCATATAATTCGGAAGGAAATCATGTGAGGGGTGAGCTATTTTGAGTGCAGAATGTGTAAAGAAGGAGGGACTTCGGTTGTTAATCTAAATGCATATATAGAGGTAACAGCAGCGTTGCCAGTATTGCTAATTTATCTGGATTTTACAGATTTTCAGTCGTCTTGCCAGATACACGTTTATTTTCAGATTTTTTAAATAGGGGAAATGGCTCTAATGTTGGCCAATGGATCTAAGATTGGGCCCATCGCTAAAAATCTGCTATTCATCAATTTTATCTAGATGAATGCGTCATTGGGACGGTACTGATGGATATTTTTGGTCGCTATTGAAAATTCAATCGATTGCTGAATTTATGTATGGGCCCAATTTAGGGGCATTTAGGCCGACATTACATCCATTTCCCCTATGTTCCAGATTTTTAAAATGTGTTGCTTTATAAATATCACTGAAATTAAGGGATCGTCTATTAATTATGTCACACTTTTAGGGGGGTTTTGGAAACTGTGACGAACCTTACAAAAACAATTAAGGTCCATAGAAAAAATGTGACAAAGGGGTGAGGGGGGGGGGGGTTGAAAATGGACCCTCTAATCAAAAAATATGAAGCCAAACTTACTACTTTAATTACTAAAAGCCATCAACGTTTGGACATTATTGCAACATCATGCATGGAATTGTTACAGCATGTTTGTAATGGGTTGCAGAATCATGAAAATTGAGATAAACTAAGACATTATTGGCTGTAAAAAATCTTCAAATTTAAAAAAAAATATCGAGCCAGTTTTTTTTTTATTATCTGGAGTTGTTTAAATTTTGGCTGTAATTACATTTCTTGGAATCTTGGATTTATAAAAATCAATATTTCAATATGGAGGAATTTTCCTAATTTTTGGAATTTAGAGACATCGAAAACTGTTCAGGATTGAAAACAAAAAATTGAGTTTTGGAAAATTAGCAAGGCTTTTGAATCTTGACAACCACCAAGACTTTAAAGTATGTTCGTGATATTTTTGATGATAATTAATTAGATGTTTAAATAGAGTTTTGAAGTAATATTGAGTTACCTTAGCAGTCTGCAATACTTTGGAATTCTGAATTGCCCTAGATTTCAGAACTTTAAGGTAATTCTGAAAATAGTTTACAGTTAAGTGTAAGTATGCAGTCTGTGCAACCTTTGATTGAAGTGAAGACGGTATAAATTGTCTTTTGCAAACTCTTATGACAATTGCATGGAGATTTTGGCAAAAAAAGAAATAGTTAGAATCCGGAAGAGAAATCAAAATTTTTAAGATGAAACTTAAGGAGTATGCTGATACGAATCGTGAGAATAATTTCAATGGAATTATGTCCAATGTTTCTATGGAAGATTAGGTTTTATCAAGTTTTAAGAAATCTGGCAATTTCTGGGAGACTTTCAAAGCTATTTGGCAAAGTACTTGAGTACTTAGGAAATATGAAGAGGATTAGTCTGAGAAGAATGTGACGGTCATTCTGAAGAGCATACCAAGGAAATTATTAAGAATATTCTAAGGGAATTTCATAGAGAAAAAATGAGACTAAATTATGCAAATCTTGAAAATTATTACCAGTTTGAGGGAATAGTGGAATCAGAGAGCGATTTATAAGAGATTAAAAGAAATAATGCTAAGCACTCTTAGAATGTTATAAGGTTGGATGTTATCAAGATTAGTTTAGGGAAATCCGGAAAAGAAGTATGATGATTCAAATTGAACTCTGTAAATGAAGTAATTTCAGAGTAACAAAAAATTTCATGATCTGGGACCCAGGAAAAATATAAATTACCAGAATTTAGAATCATTTCATGATTCTGAGACTTCAAAAATGACGCTTTCAGACTTTCATTTTAGTTATATAATAATATTATTCTTTGGCATAAATTATTTGTAATGGTCATGTGGAGTTACCCGTAGTTTAGGCAAATGGGTAAACTGTGTGTGAGTACCACGATGTAAGGCTTTGATTCTCACTTCACTCATATCAATAGAAGTAAAGTTTCAAACTGAAATAACTTCGGATTTGATGTGTTCAGATGAATTATTCAAAAACCATTTTTCAATTTCATAGGCATATTAAAGGATGAAGGGGGTGGGTGAGGGGGCGGATGGATATGACTTTAGCTGACTTACAACACGAGGGGAAGTAGCCAAGTCTGAGGCACAGATTAAAAATCAGTGCCAGATGGTTGTAGGATGTGGGACTCAAGTGTTTTAGCTCCAGATTAAGGATGTTGTCGAAACCTGGGGCCTTCATGCTTTTAGGAATCTGATGGAGGTTGGTTAGGTTTACAGACCCCTCAGCTTCGTGAGGGCTGACGATGTTTTGTCCGAGATTATGGGAGCTTACAAAGTGTTGACTTATCGCGGCAGTCTTCTCTTCAGGAGTTATCAGATGAACCACTGGGTCGCCGGGACTATCCAGTGGGGTCAGTGGTGGAATGGGTCTTGGCTTATTTTTAATGAGTTTGGTTAGTTTTCACAAGGGTTTTGCACAATCTGGGAGAGAGCGGATCTTGTTAGCAAAATCCTGATTTCTATGATTACATCAACCAGAGAATGGCGCATTATTATATTTATAGCTCTTGAACTGTACCAGATGGAAAGATGCAGTCTCAATACCCGTGTGGCAATGGCTAGTTTAGTTCAGAATTTTCACACCATCTTAGCTTAGCTTAGATTGACTGCACATATCAATGGTTGCTACCCCGTGATTGATCAGAATCAGTGAAATTGTACAATGAATCAATTGAATGGGGCTGGGAGTGACCGTCCATTCTCATTGTAAAAGTTTCAGTGACTCTATATTTTGTAGATCAATAACGGCGCCGGCCACGTCCTTGCAATCAGGTGGAGTAGGGAAGGAATATTAGAGTGACCTTTGTTGTTTGTGGGCCGTGTTTACCTCTGCACCCCAACAAAAGACACAGGAAAGGAGATTTTGTTAGTAAGTTTGGTTCGTTGGATCAGGATTCACCTTGATAAGTGATGCGACCATGGTTTTAAATGTACAAATAGACTTCTTCTGTAGATATCTCAGGATGGAGACCAGATCGAAACTTCGGGTCGGTTCATCTCGTTTTCTCCATCAGACGATGAAATCGAGGAAATTTGCAACTCGAAAAAAATCCTCGACCAGACCAAACATCATTCCTGCCCAGTGTTCGGAAAAACTCAAAAGCTCAAATCTCATGCATGAGTTTATGCGCCTACGAGTTTTACCTTGCAAAATTCAACGTCGTAAAATTAAATTAAATCCTGCCACTTCCACTTCTGTACATTGCAGCTAATCGAAAACCCCCTGTTATAAGAGCTATGGCAACCTATTTCGATTACAACCCGCTTCAAACTGGAAGGAACTAAAATTTCCATTGCGGTGACCTATACACCACGCTATTACTTAATGAATTAATTACCATTCGGTTGAAAACAAGTCTCAACGCAAACGACAGTCTACGACGATTGCTTGATAACAACGGTGCTAAACTTGTGCAAGTCGCAATCAGTATGAGACAACTGGTTGTTTTAAGGTGAGAATGTCAAGAATGTAGTACAAATCAATGTAAATCCTAAATTTTCGCCTGAACAGTTTGATTATAGTGATTGTATCAACCGCTCCACCGCCTTCAACTTTAACCTGTTCAAGGCAGGACCAAGATCAAGCATGTCACATCGAAGGGCTTACACTCGACCCCAGCATCGTCTTTCCAGAAGAACCCATCATCCATCTGGACAATTGCACCGTTGAGGACTTTTCACCGCAACTGGCAGCCAACGTCCCAGACTCAACCAAGGAGCTTTCCATCCTGGACGGTTTCGCCCCCAAGGTCTTCATCAAGCCGACGCTCAAATCTTTCACCGTTCTTCGAACGGACACGGCTGACGTGCAGATCAACCCAGAAGACAATTTCAACCTTGAAGTGCTCGATATCGAAGGGCATTTGCGATCCGTTCCGGTCAATGTCCACCGCCTGAAGGCATTGGTTGTGCTGGATTTGTGCGAAAACGAAATCGAGCAGGTGGATCTGAGTCAGCTTGATGAATTGGGCTCGCTAAGGAAGGTGAACTTGGGCCACAATAATATCCATTCGGTTAGTTTGACGAAGGAACTGAACCTGCCGGGCCTGGAGGAGCTTTTCCTGCATGGAAATGACCTGACGACGTTGGATCTGACCCATTTGAAGGCGGATAGTTTGCAGCGGTTGTACGTTTCTCAGAATCATCTGCTTCGGATCGGGGGGTTCCCCGCTCCGGAGCACAACAAGCTGACGCGGGTGGATTTGTATCTGAACAAGTGGAACTGTGAGTGGTTGGAAAGTACGCTGCGGGTTTTGAATGGTAATGGAGTGGAAACGTTGAGCTACTTGCCGGTGACGGTTTGCAACGAGAGTGGAAGCGTTAGGGTCGATGCGATTGGATGCGAATGAGATAACGCGATAAGGTGGATGTTTGTCAGCTTCTGAATTTGGAAATAAACAATCGATGATTTATTATCACTATTTGGGGTTATGTTATTACAAAGAGAAATAGCGAATTTGTTTGCCATACTTAAATAGTGTTGATAGCCGTTTATTATTCATGCTTCAATTCCTTCTTGCAACTGCTTTTTCCTGTTTCTGTTTGTACCTAAAAAATTCTATAACTAGCGCATTTACCAGATGGTTTGAGCTCACCTCCAGCCTGCGTTCATGGAATCCCGATCGGATAACGGATTAAAGCCTTTCACAAAACATGTTCTAGATCGTTAAATTTATCATAAAGCGTTCCGTAGTAGTAGTAGCAGCAGAAGTAGTACCACATAACAGTCCAGGGTCCTTTCTAATTTCATCAAAATTTATTTCTCCCACACAGGAATCGATGAAGTATCGCATCTGCATCGAGTTAACACATGCACCACATACATAAGCACCAGGAGGAAGACCAATCTCAACATGCATCACCAGGTGGGTTGATTGCAATTAAACATACCTACATCTCAAGCAAAATCATCTTAAGCCTTCGGGTCTCCCCCTTCCCTTCCCACAAATTAATTCAATATCCTACGGGAAAGGCGATTGACTGTCGACCTTCACCCGTCCTCCCTTCCCTCCGGGGCTTGGGTAAACATGTCAGTTAGGATATCCTGGTTAAACGACCAAGCTCCGTCTCATTTATCAAACGTCGGCCAGTCGGTTCCCCATGAGCATCCTTCCCACCACCACCTGGGGACCTTTTGTTGGTTTGAGACCAAGGTGATGGAAGTGTGGAAAGCTATTCATTAAAATTTTCACATGGGTGATCGGTTTGCCTTTTATCGATTTCACCTGAAAAGGAAATCTTCAGAACGATATTGATTGGAAACTTTCAGCCCACCTTCAATCCAATCCCAGAAGCGAACGAATAAGACAATTTTAAATGCTCGAGACGACTGAAGTCGGATATTAGTTTTCTGTGAAACGAAAGTCGGGGTTTTCAGCCGAAAGCCAGAGGAAGATGTTTTTGTCTGTCTTGCCGGAAAGAAATGTCCTTACTTTACTTTGATGTTAGAGGCTCCATTCATGGAAATCAGATCAAGAAGTTGCTTTTAAAATAGGCTTTGATGAAAACAAAGAAAAACCAAATGGACAAAAATCGGTGCTGGCTGTCTAGAAGAGGCACTTGATTGAAACTTTCCAATTTAGACACGGATTGGGAAATGCTGTAAAGTTTTCATGAAATCCAATTAGCATTCTCGATTGACGCCACGCGATTGGAGGAAAATAAATTCCAAAATTTAGAAGCTTTAACTTAAAGCTTTTTTAGAAGATTTAACGTCAGATTCTTCTCTTTGATATCATGTCCTCATCCATTATGCAGCATTCGTCCGATCTGTCTTCAATAAGCCATGATTCAAAGTGTAATATTGCAACAGATGTCACTGTTTATGTGGTACTGTTCTTCTGTCCTTTATTTAACGTCGGTCTCTGTTCCGCAATCTAGTGCCAATCACCGACGGACATCGATTGCCATCCATTGACGGCAATCGAATGTGCAGGAAGGCAGCTTCCACACCTGCGTAGGATATCGCACCCATTCAAACACACATGGGCCGGGACCAACGGCTTTACTTCCCTTCCGAAGGAAGACGTGACCAGAGATTTTTATGCCTCAGAAAAATCCCACCGACCTCGGCTGGGATTGAACCCAGACCCATTGGGGTGTTAGAAAGCAGTCACACTTTCCACAACACCACCGGCGCCGGCTTATGTGGTACTGATCAGAGACGATTTTTCATAAGATACGCGCAGAGAGAATAAAAGTAAATCTGGTTGCACGGCCAACAAAGTTATTTTGTCAGCAAGGTTTGGCAACCCGCAATTTTGTGAAAAAGATAACGGGCTTGGTAGTGTCCCGGATGTTATCACGAAGAACCTAGCGATGACGCTTGGCGCCTCCTTTACCAAGACCTTTTCCTCCTTTGCCACAACCAGTCATTGTTGCTTGTTGGGTACACTACCTATCCTGTCACCACCTTCCTACTGCCCGATTCCGAAAATATAAATATTGAAGGGAATTTAGCAGTATTTCCCACTTTTTTGAAACCGGAAGTCACCATCTTGGATTGAAAAATGGCGCTGGACATCGATTTGCAGTCTCAGACGTCATCCAGATTCCGAAAATATCCATATTGAAGGGTATTTCGCAGTATTTTCCTTTTTTTGCTGATACTGGATGCCACCATCTTGGATTTCAAAATGGCGTCAGACATCGATTTACGTCATCCCGACTCCAGAAATACCCATATTGAAGGGTATTTGGCAGTATTTCCCACTTTTTCTGATACTGGATGCCACCATCTTGGATTTTAAGATGGCGCTGGACATCGATTTTCGGTCTCTAGACGTCATCCCGATTCGAAAAATATCCATATTGAAGGGTATTTGGCAGTATTTCCCTCTTTTTCTGAAACCGGGAGCCGCCATCTTGGATTTCAAAATGGCGTTGAACATTGATATTCGGCATCTACATCTCAAAAAATCTATATTATAGGGTATTTGAAAGTTTTTCTGAAGTCAATGGCCGCCATCTTGCATTACAAAATGGCGTCAGACATAAATTGTAGTGCTTGTTCCGAAAATACCCATAATACTCAGACATCAATTTTCAGGACGTGCACGTCGAACCAGTTCCGAAAATATCCATATTATAGGGCCGTCTCTTGGATTACAAAATGGCGTCGGACATTGATTTTAGGCATCTAAATGTCGTCCCCGTTTCGAAAATATCCATATAGGGTAAACGCTCCTATAGTTGCGGTACGTTAGAAGCGTTAGGTTCCTATAGTTGTGTATTGAGTTTCCATGCACAACTATAACAACTATAGGAACCTAACACTTCTAACGTACCGCAACTATAGGAGCGTTTCCCCTAATAGGGTATTTGATAGTTTTTCTGAAGTCAATGGACGCCAACTTGGATTCAAAAATGGCGTTAGACCTCGATTTTCGGGATGTACGCCTAGTACTTGTTCCGCAAATACCCAAATTTGATAGTTTTTCTGAATCTGAGAGTCGCCATTTTAGATTACAAAATGGTGTCAGATTTATAGTTTCGGGATGTACACGTCGAACCCGTTCCGAAAATACTCATATTGTAGGGTATATGACAGTTTTCAGAATCTGGTGACGGACATCGATTTTCGAAAGGTATGCGTGGCCCCCGTTCCGAAAATATCCATATTGTAGGGTATTTGACAGTTTTTCAGAATCTGAGATTCACCATCTTGGATTACAAAAGGGCGTCGCATATCGATTTTCGGCATCTACCCGTCGTCCCCGTTCCAATAATACCTATATTGTAGGGTATTTTACAGCTTTTTGACGTAGGACTACGTCTGTGATTTCTATATGGGGTACACTTTGTGAAAAGAAAAAATGGAACTTGTAACAAAATTATGAAAGATTTTGAACGTTAATAACTCAGCTGCCCCTCGACCAATTTCAATAATTTTATCATCAATCGACCAGAAATATTTCTACGCATCGATAAAAATGTTTTCGACTGTTGATTTTTAGCTAGAAATTATTGAAAAAGTGGTAAATGCCAAGGCTTATCCAATGTACAAATAAAAAGTGATAATTTTATCACTGTTTTCATAAAATAAACGTTCTTCCCAAATCCAGTCTTCATAATCGAGTACCACTTGGTTGCACATCATTCTGCTTTAACCTGAAAAGATATAAAAGAGCGCTGCTGTCCAGTCTCAACTCATTTTCGCTTCGGACGGCGTGGTGAGCAGGCAGCAGAAGCAGCAATAGCAGCAGTAGGAAGGTGGTGGCAGGTTAGGTAGTTCACTCCATGCTTGGCATACACAGTTTTGCTCGCGAACTGCTCATTTGCTAATAACTTTGCACAGAGTTTGTAAAGTTTGAGCTTCTTATAGATACGTAAAAAAGGAGATTTTAATTCTAGTAATAAACTGTATTTGATTTTTCCTTGAAAAGATGAAGTGAGAAATGCTCGCTGCATATCTCGGACTTTAAGTGTAAATGTTCATTTGTGTTGATTCAAATGATAAGATTTACCTACTCTTTGCATGTCTACTGTAAACTATGATCCTAATCTATCAATTACTTTTTAGAAAAATAAATTTCAACAACTGAGTGAAAAGTTATCAACAAATGAGCAGGTGTGTACAACTGTGCATGCCAAGCATGGTTCACTCTTCTACCTAACAAGCAACAATGACTGGCAAAGGAGGAAAAGGTCTTGGTAAAGGAGGCACCAAGCGTCATCGCAAGGTTCTTCGTGATAACATCCAAGGTATTACCAAGCCCGCCATCCGTGTCTGGCTCGCCGTGGCGGTGTCAAACGTACCTCTGGTCTGATCATCTGATGATCTCATCTAGTCACATAACCAACAAAACAACTACCCATGTGTGAAAGTAGAACCATCGCGAGGAACCAGCAAAACGGTAGCAACCAAGATTCTAATCCTGGAGCAACCGGGTCGAGACTCTTCTGAGTGCCCATTTCTCGTAGCGAAGTTGAGATATCCTTCGCTGCGCCTTTCCAACGGCTCCAACAGTAGCCGGGCCGAGACTCTTCCAAGTGCCCATTCGTCGTTGATGTATCCTTCACTGCGTCCTTCCAACCCGTCGCAGCCACCTAGTCAACCCGTGTCCAGCAGCAGTCGCGCCGAGACTCTTCCGAGAGCCCATTCGTTGTAGCAAAGTTGAGGTTTCCTTCGCTGTGGCCTTCCAACCTATCACAGACACCAGTTCAACCCCTGTCCAGCAGCAGAAGGGCCGAGACTCTTGCGAGTGTTCAATCATTGAACCGAAGAATATGGCATTGTCCGGTCCGATTTGCTGATCCAGCTGCCTACACGTCATCATTGATGAGTATTCACTCGAGATACACTGGTCAATCTTTCATTAAACTGAAACACTACTGGTTGTCGCAAAGACCGAAACGAAAGTGATCCGCTCGATCGGTTCGTATATTAACAAAAGCTCTCGATCTCGCCCGCAGGCGTTACATGCGTTTTCATACATTGACAGTTGATGGAGAAGGTTGGTATCCAACAATCATCATCTTCCAAAGGCTATAAGCGAAGACAAAAAATCAAGAAGACTGGCAACTCTTCCATTTTCTCATACGAACGCTATGAGACAAGTACAGTCGCGTCATCTGCGGCTCAACGGTAAATGCTTCGAACGAATTTGATAGCAAAGACTACATCCTCAGAAGAAAGGTTCGTGTATTTGCTCATTTTTCTATGCGTTGGTTCTACCTTCACTCAAAAGCAGCGCTATGTATCTGTAGCTTGGATTCTGGCAAAGTTGCCAGTTTTCTTGATATGATGTCTTTGCTTTAAGCCTATACTACCATTGAGGCCTCCCTTAGCTCAGTCGGTAAAGGCGCAGCTACAAAGCAAGACCATGCTGGAGGTGGCTGGGTTCAATTCCCGGTTCGGTCTAGG